CCGCCGCCCCACGCGCCGCCCCAGCCGCCGGACGCGCCCCCCTCTTTGCTGCGGGCGCCGCCGCGGCCGGCGCCGCGCGCCGATTTCGAGGGGTTGGCGCGGGCAAACGCGGAGTAGCTGTCTGTAAACTCTTGAGTATACAATGGCGACCTGCTGCTGTTGAGAAGCTTCTGCAGGGAGGCCAATGACTCGCCTGGGACGCGCGCCAGGAGCTCTGGAGTGGTAGAGGGGTTTGGGGGCGCCAACGGGTGCGTTGGCCGGGGCTTGCGAGTGGGCAAGTGAGTCCAGGAATGCATGGTACTTTGAACCAAGGCAGCAGGGCCGCCGCAAGCAGCGGGGGACAGCGCCCTCCGCAACCAGGCAGCTGCGGTCTGCATGCAGCCCCTCAACGTGCAGCGCAGGCGCGATGGGCAATGCTTTGCCCAAGCGCCGGCCCAGGTACTCACTCGAGACCACCGGCTGCAGCGCCGACTTCCACTGCAGCAGCTTGATGTCCGACACATACCGCACCACCTGCGTGATTTGAAATCACGATGCGACAGCTGAGAGTCAGCGACACGCCGCGCCGCGAGACTGCGAGGAGGCGAGATTCTGCTTACCGCATCAAGGGGCATCGGTGCCGGGCACCGGCTGCGGCGTCGCGGCACGGCCTTGAGCAGATCATATCAGACGCAGCAGGAGCATGGAAGTGTCGCTAGGACGCGTTTGAATGCGCACCGTCATGTTAGGATCATGGACGTCCGGCATGAATATGAACTGGTCGACGGAGGTGAAGTGGTCGGAGAGGCCAGACAGGGCCAGCTTCTTCCCAGGTTCCAGCTCTACCACCTGATACCTGTAGGGTGGAATTCACAGTCATATGTGGGATATGATGATGGCCGAGCAAAGGTGTGCGTTGACACACGCCCATATACGGACTTCACGCCTCAGTTGCATCCCCTTGCCTCACGCAACTGCGCCCTTCCTGCTGGAGAAAGCGCCGCTGGCCACCAAGATACGAGCCTGGCGCAAGCTTCCAGGCTAGCGGCATGTCTGCCGAGCCGCGACTCACAGCATGGTAAATGAGTAAACGCCAAAGAGCTCCTGCTGCAGCTCAAACCTCGTGCCGACCTGGATCTGGTCAGCAGGCGGCCCCCGCTTGTCCGCCTTTTTGGTGATTGGCGACCATGCAGTCCACGACGCCACGTCGCTGACGAGGAAGCAGACGCGCTCCGGGTCCCCGCACACGCGCGCGGTCTGGTCTGTCACGCCGGCGGAGACGTGCAGGCGGCGCGCGCGTGCGCGCGGGGGGCGGGGCGGGGCCGGCGCCGCCGCGGTGGAGGCGATGCGCGCGGTGCGCGGGGCCGCGGGGATCCGCGCCGTTTGCATGATTGCTGCTCAAACCTATCCACAAGCTTGTGAGCTGCTGTTGACACTACAATTAGGTAAGACGTATCCGGCGAATTGGCTGCAAACAAATGCTGTTGGGTTGGCTGCACGACAGAGTCGCCGATGCTGCCAAGTGCCACTGCAAGGTGATGCCGGGCAGGTTATCCAAGGTCAATTCAAAAGCAGCCAGGGTTGGCCCCGTGGTTGCTGCCTGTGTCACTGTGTGCGGCAAGGAACCCGGCGAGACAGTGCCACGCGTGTTCAAGCGACATCAAGAAACACTCGCTTTGCGAGATTGCCCTACAATATTATGAACTGCCAAAAACCACATTGTGATAGGCAGCTGCTCATCAGATCGAGTGCTTGATCTCGCATGTGTAGCCTTGCTGCTACCGTGAACCGCGGTAGCATACTGATGAGTGTAAATCATAAGCAACTATCATATTAGGTCGCCGGGTAGGCGCTGCGCAGCAGTCGCCCCAGCCACGCCGGCGCCACTCCTCCCGCAGCGGGCCAGGCGCGGTCATTCTCATTGCAGCTCACGGCGTGCCGATGGCAGACTCTCCATTCTAGGAAGCCGTATTTGCCTGCTTTCAACAGACACCGGGTGCTGGTTGCAGGGCCAGCACCCCAGGATCCCAGCGGGCGCAGTACAGCACGGAGCGGCGGCACTGGGGACGGCTCGCGCACACGGCAGCAGGCAGGCGCCGCAGCCATGGCGAAGCTGCGTTTTGCCATGGTGTGTGCCTCCAACATGAACCGATCCATGGAGGCGCACGACTCCCTGGCGAAGCACAAGCTGTTTGTAGGTACCCGGCCGGGTTCTCGTTCTGATTAGCACGCACAGCAGGCGTGCAGTCACATGCCCTTGAGAACGAACTGCTGGTGACTCGATGCTCCCCACAGGGGCCCCTGGCGGCCCCTGACATCTCCATCCATTGCACACGCCCCTTTTAATACACCCTGCATGCATGCATGCGCCCCCAAAAGGTCCGAAGCTACGGCGTCGGGCAGCACGTGAAGCTTCCGGGCGCCTCCAAGGACTCCCCAAACGTGTACCAGTTTGGGACGCCCTACCGCACCATATTTGAGGACCTGAAGGGCAAGGACCCCGCGCTCTACACCAGAAACGGGCTGCTGAAGATGCTGGAGCGGAACATGGCCGTCAAGCAGGCGCCAGAGCGCTGGCAGCACGACAGGTGAGCTCGAAGCCGGCTGCAGCGGTGGCGGAGGCGGTGGCCGCGGGGGCGGGTGCGCCCGCGCGGTGCGGGGCGCATCGCCTGTGCCCATGGCACCGCGCATTGATGGCGCATAGTGTGGCTGGAATGGTGGCAGGCGTGTCGAACACGGGGCAGCAATCAGCGCGGGGAGTGGGGCAGGCGTGTCTCATGCGGGGCAGCCTTCAGCACGGGGCCATGAAAGATGGACGCGCGTTCCGCCCGGCACAATTCTTGGTGCAGGGAGCACCACTTTGATGTGGCGGTCTGCTTTGAGGAGAAAGTCATGGAGCAGGTGGTGGAAGGTGAGTGGGCGGCCTGTGGGGGGCCAAGCATATACTTCGCTGACAGCACCCGTGGTCAGCAGCTGCGTGCAGGCCTGCGAGAATTGTGCTTGTTGAGCAAGACGCTGCCGTGAGGCATCGGGCGGACGCAGCCAAACAGCGGCTAGCTCCCTGCAGCTGCAGGTGATGTGCTTGATGCGCTGGGCCCCGTGCCCAGGGCCCCTCATCTGCGTGCACATCGCCCTTGCTGTTCCCCCTACCAGACATGCACAACCGCGAGCCATCCACAATGAAGCCGCTTCTCGTCATCAACATAGTGAGGGGCCCCACCTGGTGTATTCATACCATGAAGATGCAGAGTCACAACATTAGCGTTTGCCTCTCGTGGGCGGTCGCGGTCGCGCCTGCCGCACAAACCATGTCCCCCTGCGAGGTGCCGTGAGCATGTTGCCGGCCTTCTTTGCGGCCTGCGCCGAGAGCCCTGACCCACAGCCCGCAGGCATGCTTGGCAGCATCTCACTCGAAGTGTCAACAACCAACTGCAACAGGATGTGAAAGACAACCACGAGGAGGCGGCGAAGGTGGCCCCGCAGACGCTCTGGCTCTGCCGGAAGGTGGGGCCGGGCGCAGGCGGCGTGCGCGGCGCGCGGAGAGTGTGTGTGTGGCTGCCCAGGCGCGCGTGGCTTGAAGCGTATAGCCTGGGCCTTCCCGTGGGTCCCACTTTGTTGGTGATGAGCACACAAATGCTTCCAGTGACAACTGGCTATGCTTGCTGTTGGCCGCCGTAGTTCTGCCGGCAGGTAAGTCCAACCTCCGACCTCCCCTGCCCCCGTGTGCGACTCTGGCAGTTGGACGCCTGCGACTCATGGGAGGACGGGATCGACGCGGCGCTGCTGGCGTTTGAGAAGGAGCACCGGCGGCGCGCCACGTACACCATCTGCCACTACTGACGGTGCATGCGTGGGGGGGCGGCCCCGGCGGGACGGCCGCCCCGCCCTCTCAGCTGTGAGGGGGGGCGTGCGCACGGCAGCAAGACAGCGAAAGCGCACGCGACTGGCGCACGTGGTTCGCCCCGTCCCATCTGTCATCAGCGCCGCTTTACTGCAGTGTCCAAAGCAGGGAGCAGCGCTGTACTGCAGTGTCCATTGCAGGCAGCAGTGCCTGACTGCAGTGTCCAATGCAGGCAGCATCGCGTCACGTCCATGACAGTGCGATGCAAGCAGGTGGTCGCCTGAGCTGTTGCCACACATGCACCGCGCTGAGCAAGCGCCTTGCGTGGCGGCTGCGACACCTACGCCTCTACCGCTGTAACACTGCGGGATGTCGAGCTACCAAGCACTGTGCAGAGTGTGGATTGCATGCGCAAGGGGCCTGATCAGCGTTTGTGGCGCTGCCTTTACAGGTTTCCGCAAACAGCAGGGAGACGCAGCTGCTCGATGGCCTTTAAATGGGATGCACCATTGATCACGCGCAGCTGTCTGCCTCGCTGAGTGTTGTGCTGCAGGCTGCTCGGGACATTTCTCACCTTGGGCACCACACCAGTCTGGCGGGGTACGGCCCGGCAGGTAAGGGTAGCTCGCCCGCCAAGGCAAGCCTCCGCCTCTAGCTGCATATGCGTGTGACGATGCCACAGCACTTGGCATGCCAGACAACTATACAGAAAACTTCATGCACTGGTCTCAATCGCGCCAGCGGTTTCAGTTGGAGCAGCAGCAATCAGCTGTTCAGCGTTCACATGGGCGCCAACGCTGGACAGCAGACCGCCCAGCCTGCCTGGGATCGCATGCTGAAGGCCAGTCCACTCTACCACACGAGCATTCTACCACTGACGACAGGTTTGGTAGACCTCCACACCCTCGAGCTCGAGCGCACGCCCCGATCTCGCGTGTAGGAGGGATTCCAACTTTCGGTAAGGCAAGCTGCGCCAGCCTCTCACGCTCCGTGCGGAGGTTCGTCTGGCCGTTTTGTGTTTGTTCAAGTAAACATACAACTAGTCGTAAACGGTTCTCGGTGGACACCTCTAGCTACCCCCACCCCAGCAAACCCACACAGCAGCGATGAAGCGCCAAGCCACACGGCTGGCCCAGCTTGCGGGCTGGGCCCAAAGAAACTACAGTGCTCAGCCCATGATGGAGGAGGCGAGTGGCACGAGGGGGGTTCCATTGAGGGTCAGCACAAGGGCGCGAAGAGCGGGTGATCGCCCAGCAGGAGCACGCTTCACCTGGGCCGCATGCGCCCAAGAACGCGAAGTACTAGACATTTCAGCACCGTAACGCGCATTTGAGCCGAGCAGTGAGCCCATCTCATGACGCAGCGTGCGACGCAGCGCCAACGCACGCACATGTCACACCCACGACTGTTCCCTTGCTGGACAAGAACAGCGGGGCGCAGCGCGCTCACCGCACACACGCACACGTTTCCACACACCCCACACGCGTTATATTGCAGAGCGCACACCGTGCGTACGCCGCGGTGCCGTACTCGTACACACCCCCGGGCCGCAACCACCTGCACGTGCCCGGTAAGAGGGTCGGCCTCTCGCGCCCGCCACGCGGGCCGGTGGCGCCCGACCACCCAGCCACCTGGCGTGCCCTGCATGCGCCCCCACGCGCCGCCAATCCGTGCACTCGTCCCCTGTCGTGCATGCCTAACCCAAACGCACCCCTTGAAGCATGTAATGCCCCCAGCAAACGAGCCGCGCTGCGTCACGCCGGGCGCCCCCTCCATGACCGCGCACCCCTTGCTTCCCTCCAGGACCCGTCAACATCCATGAGCGCGTGCTGCGCGCGATGTCGGTGCCGGGCCAGAACCACCGCGACCCCTGGTTTGCATCTTGGTGGAAGGAAATCCTGGAGGAGTCAAAGCTGATCTATGGTGGGTGCCACGCGCTGCTGCGCTGCCTGGTATCAATAATGCATGGGCCCCGTCCCGTAATCAGTGTAAATAGACACGTTTGTGGGGATGCGAGCCGCGCCGCGGCAGCAGGGGCGAGCTTGAGCTGTGGAAGTGCACAGGCCAGGGTCTGCCCTTTCCAGATTATTTTGTCCCCTCGCTGCGGTCAGCTGATTGTAGAGCGATGTATTGTATATACATTGGATGCCTGCAACGCGCCTGGTCCCCCCCCTGAAAGTGGGCGTCCCTGAAGCAGCTCGGCCCCGCACAACTCCCCTTCACCCTTGGTCCCCAGGCACGCAGCGCGGCACCCCCTTCATCTTCAGCGGCACCGGCACCGGCGGCTGGGAGTCTGCGCTCACCAACACGCTCTCCCCGGGCGACAAGGTGCTCACCTTCCGCTACGGCCAGTTCTCGCACCTGTGGGTGGACATGATGCAGCGGCTGGGGCTGGAGGTCGAGGTGTACGACCGCCCCTGGGGCGAGGGCGCCGACGAGGCAAAGGTGGAGGAGGTGCTGCGAAACGACACCTCCCACAAGATCAAGGCGGTCTGCATCGTGCACAACGAGACGACGACGGGCGTGACGTCCGACGTAGGCGGCGTGCGCGCGGCGATCGACGCCGCGAAGCACCCCGCGCTGCTGATGGTGGACGGCGTGAGCAGCATCGGGGCGCTCGAGTTCAAGTTTGACGACTGGCGGGTGGACGTGGCGGTGACGGGCAGCCAGAAGGCACTCAGCCTGCCGACGGGGCTCGCGCTGCTGTGCGTCAGCGACAAGGTGCGGCCCGCCGCGCTGCAACTCGGGCGGCCCGGGCAGGCAGGCAGGGAGGCAGCGAGGGAGGGATGGGTGGTGGGCGGGGCGGTGGGGTCGCGGAGATGAGGTGAGAAGTTGGAGGGTCTGGGGCGTATGGCTACGGCAGCTGCGTGCCCCGCACGATGCGACGCCGACGCCGACGCCGCACCAGCCGCATTGACGGGGACGCGGGCGCCCGCAGGCGCTGGACGCCCGCAAGACTGCGAAGCTGCCGCGAATCTACTACTCGTGGGACGACCAGCTCAACACCAACCCCAGGTGGGGCCACTCCCTTGGCGGCTTGCTGCGTGTGGGCGTGTGTGGGCCGTCGTGAGGGTGAATACTGTCAATGGGCATGTGTGAGCCCTCATGAGGCTGCGTTTTGCATGCGCGTGGGGGCGCATGTGTGTTATGCTGTGCGGCAATTGACTTGGCTAGTGTGGAGGCGGGCAAAAGGGCAGGCACGGCGGCCCCGCCTTTAGTGGCGGCTGCATGCCGCACTGGTCCCAGCGCCTCAATGAACTTGTCCCCTCCTGGCTTGCGTTTCGCGCCCGCGCCCGCGGCCCCGCAGCGGCAACGTGCCCTACACCCCCAGCCTCATGCTGCTGCACGGGCTCAAGGAGTCGCTTGCGCTGCTGCGGGAGGAGGGCTTTGACAACGTCGTGGCGCGCCACCACAGGTGACTGCACACATGTTTTGGGGGAGAGCGTCGTGCGCGTGCTGTGTTGCATGCAAGGTCCACCCAACAGCATGGCGGCTGGCCCTACTAGGCTACGCAGTCACCTGCAAGATGGCAGGCAGGACAGAGCCGATCTGGGGGTTTTCAGAGCGTTGGTGATGGCAGAAGGCTGCCTTGGGCAGATGCAGGGCGGCCGGCAGCAGCCAGGCGATGCGCATGGCGGTCCTCAGGGCAGCGACGGCCGTGGGCCCTGAGGCTCTGCCGACGGTTTGGCTGCGTGCCCGCGCGGCCCCCGTGCTCGCAGGCTGGCCGAGGGCACCCGCAAGGCAGTTGAGGGCTGGGGCCTGAAGCTGCTGTGTAAGCACCCGCGGTGGCAGAGCGACAGCCTGACTGTGATCGAGGTGCCGGCCGGAATCGACAGCAACCTTATTGTCAAGAACGCCTACTCCAAGTGAGTGGGCCTGCGGCGCCTGCGCGGCGGCGGCCGCGGAGGGCGCGTCGGCGCGGCCTGGCTGTGAAGCGCGTCACCTCCTTGAGGGGACCACGGGGCGCTGCCCTACTTTGGGCCTGTCGCATCAGCCTCGCAGGCCCTGCCATTGCGAGCTGGCGCCGGCGCTGGAAAGCGAGCCAGACGCGGCCATAACCCTGGGCCCTAGGGCCCCCACGTCCCGCGCCGCCCTTCGCCCCGTCTTCAACCCCTGTGCCGTCCTCCCCCGTCCCCCTTTCGTGCGTCCAAGGTACAACCTGTCTATCGGCATCGGCCTGTCCAAGGTTAACGGCAAGGTCTTCCGGATCGGCCACCTCGGGAACATGGACGAGCTCATGATGTGCTCGGCGCTTTCGGGCGCGGAGATGGCCATGCTCGATGCCGGCATGAAGATCACGCCCGGCAGCGGCGTCGGGCGCGGTGCGCGGGCGCGTGGGGCGCGCCGGGGGCGTGGCACCGTCGGAGGGGCGTCAGGGGGTGCTCGCGAGGAGGGCCCCTTTTTGGGGCTGCAATCGCGACTCGTCATGTCCCAGAGCCCCGTTCGCATGCTGACGCGGCGCCGTTAAATCGCGATTGCCCACCCTCGCAGCCATCGAGTACTGGCAGAAGACCAGCAAGGTCATCCCCACCCGCGAGGCCTAAGGGGCTGCAACTGGCGCAGTGGCGCGGCCCCCTGGGCTCGCTTTGGGCCGGCATCCGGCGCCCTGGCTCGGGCCGCCGGCGCTTGGCAGGGCGGCCCCCTGCGCGCCCAAGCCGGGGCCCTGCGGACAATGATTGTGGGGTGGAGTTCCATACGTGCGGGTGGGCGGCAGGGGGCCGCACGGGATGTGGCGCTCCTCCGCGCGGGCCGGGCGCGGCCGCCCTCGCAGCCGAGAAGCCTGCGGGGCAGCGGACCTGGCACTGTGTCGCGCCAAGCGCTGTATCAAACGGGTGCCGCTGCGGCGCGCTTTTCTGGCGGCGGCGGCCCCCTTGGCGCTGCACTGTTTGCCCTTTGGGAGCAGGGCAGCCCGCCTGGCGGCGCAGAGAGGGGCAAGCCCCGACATGTGGGGTCCCGGCCCTGTGGCTTGATCGCCGTTGCAGCCGACCTTCAAGCGTGAGCCCCTGGCACACGCCGAGGCGTCTGGCCCCACTTGGTCAAATGCGGTGTGCAGGGCCCGAGCGGCGTTTCTTTAGTTACGCGAGTAGCTGCCACATGCTGGGGCCCGGCAGGCCTCTGATTGGGCAGCCAAGGGCCCCTATGTCTGTTTATGAAGGCGCCTGAGCGCTCATTTTGCCGCGAGCGCTCTGCTTTCGCTGCCTTGTACCCAAGCACCTGCCGGTCTTCCGAGAGAGAGGAGAGTGCGCCCTTGGAACCGCCGTGCCGCATGGCGGCGCGGTGGCCCCACCAGTGTACTTTTTAAACAAAGCGGCCCCTGTAATGCGTGTGCAGTGTCATCCGCCCAACCGTGGGCCGGATCGCGACGGCAGTCCCACGCGGCCTTCTCAGTGACTTTCCCAGGCGGCCAGCTCAAAGGGTGTCCAAGCATGCGGGGCGGCACACAGGAGTGATGATGGGTGGGCCCAGGTGATCGTGCCGCACATGGGCTTTCTGCACCAGTGGAACAACCTGCCAGGCTGCGTGCTCAAACTGAGGTGCACATCTCCTCTGTCCCTGGAGGCGTCAGCAGAGCGCAGTGCAACGGCAAGGTGCAGGGTAGTTGGTGGCGCACAAGTAGGCTTGGATCACGCGCGATACAGTACCGAGACCTCGATCAGCAAGTCGTCGCGGACCGGTGAGTCGGAAGCGGGTGACTTGACCTCTTGCCGACGCCGAGAGCGTTCCAAAGCCGCTGACGGGTGAGCTCAACCATCTGAAGCCTACGCAGTGACGCCAGACGCCCCGAGCCCGAGATTGACGCTCGAGGGCCCTGGGAGCCATGCTGCTCGGCACGCGCAGCCTCCCGGGGCATGCGGGAGCTCAACGTAGTGCTTTGAGACCACTGATCAACTCTGGTGGGTGAACATGCTGCCTCCCTGAGCTTTGCGCTTGATCCGTGTGCGCGCGCCCTGCCTGGTTCCGAGAGCCCTGAAGCACCGCCATTGGCTCACGATTTTTTAGGAAATGGTCGTGGGCTAACTCCGCTAAGGCCCAGCCCATGGAGGCAGCCGACCACCTGGGCTGCCGCTGCACCTGGCGCTGGCGAGAGCAATGGCGCGCACGCGGGGGGCGACAACGCCGCCGGCGCGGCCTTGCCCGCAGCCAGCAACGGCAGCAGCAGCAACGGCAGCGGCGCCGCAACGTCCGGCGACAAGGCAGACCGCCTGCTCGGCCTGCCGCTCCTGGTGGCGAGCACGTTTTCGCATGTCAACATTCAATACATGCGGATGCGGCGGCGGCGGCGGTGGTGGAGCAAGCTAGGCGGATACCCAAAGGTGCGATGCTCGCAGTGTGGGCGCGGGCGGCGCAGTCATGACCCGAGTGACATGCAACCGCATGCCCCGTCAGCCAGCACCCGCCTGAGGCGTCCGTGGCGCTCCAGCCGGGCGCCCGAAGCCCCAGACGCGGACGCATGCGGCGCCCTCCGCGCCCCCCTGACGGCCCCCGCCCCGCCCCCTCGCCATCTGCCGCCAGGTCCCGAGCGACCAGATGGACCACCTCCCTGAGCCCGCGGTCGAGCTGTGGCACAAGGTCGTGCCACTGGGCCTGATCTTCTTCGCGGCCAGCTTCAACCTGACGATCCTGCAGTCCCTGAAAGACTCAATCGTGGTCGTCGCGAGCGGCGCGGAGACGCTGCCGTTTTTGATGTCTCTGTGCGTGCTGCCGGCCTCGCTGGCGTTCTTCGTCGCGTACGGGAACATGGTGCGCGCGCGTGCGCGTGCGGGCGTGTGCGTGCGTGCGTGTGTGTTTGTGTGTGCGTGCACGCCCGTGTGCTTGCTGCATGTAGAGCAGCGGCCACCGGTATCACGGCTGGAACAAGCGACAGCAAGCAGCCGCTGGGGCCCCTCTGCCCCCCAGAACCGCCCGCCTCCGCGGCCGCGGCCGCTCGCTGACAGCACCCACCCCTCGCCCGCCCCTCATCCCCGCCACCGCCCCCGCCACCA